GATAGATAGATAGATAGATAGATAGATAGATAGATAGATAGATAGATTGAAACATATGTTCCTGTTTGTTTTTAAAGTTTTATCACTTCACACTTTTTCAGCACGGTCTCCTCCAGCATCAATGCTTTGGTTGCTGTCACAGTGGAAGACTTTATATTTCCGATGTGCAAACCCTTCTCACCTAAACAAATTACTTGGATGAACATGGGTTTGAGTAAGTTATTGAAAAATTCTTCTGTTTTTCGGGGATTATAACTCAGGCAGGCATCAGAAAACCCTTCTTTGTGAAACCTGTTTAAAACCTCACACTTTGTTTGAGCCACAATCAAGAGCAAATTTTCATTTTGTTCAACTCAAAAACAAAAGTGACAACCTTACACAAACTCACAAAGCCCACAAAAACGTATCTTATCTTGCTATTCGTGGCAGGAAATAAAATGCAAACCAGTTGAAACATGACAGCAGATAATCATGAACTATATAGACCACTAAGAGAGCAAAGTGTAGCTTATCAGTCCAGTTTTGGAACGAAATCACAACAAAGTCCATTTTCCTAATCCATTAGCAGAATTCACTGAGAACATGTAAATACTACAATAAACTATTTCAGAAAAGTAGTAAGGCTAGCTGTAGTGTCCAATTCAGGCAAGCAGAAACATGCTGGTTCCCCTAACAAGAGCTTAAGATGGTGGGTGTGGATCATTCTGTGAGGATACACTTATCTTATAAACACTTCACAAAATGCATCTGACTTTGACTATAAGTAAACACATAGCATATTAGATCACTGCCGTTCCCTTTCAAATCCCACGGATAGTTTTCTTCATTAAAATTCTTTATTAACTTGATTTACAGATGTAGGAAGTTAAACTATTTCCTATCAACAACGCCCAGTGTTGAATTTTGATAAATGTTAGAAGAAATATTGGTTTAACTGCACAGATTAATTTGGTCCTTTTTATTTCCATAACTCTCAGGTGTGTTCTTTGGAGCTCTGTGTATTGGCATGGCAGGAGTGGCTTCACTCATGGGAAGCGTTCTGCAGGTACTGTAGTCATTTATTACTCTGTAGCACCACCAGAAGCAGAGCGCTGAGAACTACAAGCCTCCTAAAAATGGGCTCTTTTTTTTATCAGGCAGCTTTGTCCATATTTGGCATGATCAGCGGGCCTCTTCTCGGGCTCTATCTGTTGGGAATGTTTTTCCGCACCACAAATTCAGTTGTGAGTATACGGCTTATTAATGAGACGTCCTGCTCCTTTCAGCAACACAAATAAATGTTGATAATAAAAAAAAGAAAAACTAAAGGAAGGAGTTGACTCTTCTTGTATTTTCAGGGGGGACTTACAGGGATGATCATCGGGCTGGTGTTGACTCTGTGGGTGGGTATCGGAGCTCAGATGTATCCCCCGACAGACGACAAAACACTTCCTCTCAAACTCAGCACCGCGGGCTGCAACAACACAATAAGCCAAAACCTCACAACAGCAACACCCTGGACCAGTCCAGTCACTGTGACCCAACAGCCCGAGTGAGTCATTTTTCAGGAAACAAAAGCTGTTGTGTTGTTACACAGGAACTGTGCTGCTATGCGGTTAACACACCAAATGGCTAAAAAATGACCAAATAATAAAGGAATTTTTTTTCCACACACTCGTTTAACATCAAAAGCACATCTATCTCAAATATATGCATATACACATAGCAAGAAAGAGAATAAGACTACAGGAAGCATCTGATAAAAACTGAAAAGATCTCCTTCCTGTAATAGTGATAGGCCACCTTTGGCCGACTCCTGGTACTCCCTGTCCTACGTTTACTTCTGCCTTTTGGGAATGCTGACCACAATGGTGATCGGCCTGCTGGTGAGCATAATCACAGGTGAGAGACACTTTCCTCATGCCGACCTCCTGAAAATGACAGTTGATTCAAAGTGACTTATCACAAACAATATATGTTTGCTTTTTAGGTGGATGCAAACAAGAGAAACTGGACTCTAAGCTTTTTGTGAGGAAGAGTGATCTGATATGCTTCCGTGGTCATTCAAAGGCAAGACGCTGATCCTAAATGATTCATTGATAATTATTAACATGGGAAGGCTGTAAAAACATAATGCTATGTTTTTCATTCACCACAGGGATCCGATGACACAGCAGCAGAGCTTCACATGGGAGTTGACAACTTAACGTTTAAAGACTTTGATGTGAAGAGCAAAGAATTTGAAAAAGCCACAAAACTGTAATAGAGTTAAGACGTCCATTTTATTCTGTAATAAGTATTAAAGCTAGTTGTAGTGTTTAAGACTGAAATTTCAAAAAGAATCAAGACAGGTGTGTTGCAAACATTGTAAAACTGCACATGCTCATCACATCTTATTGTCCACATTGATTGAGCTGCTCCCATTTCCTGTTTATCCATATTGTTGTAACAATGTTGAGCGTTTATTACTCTTTGTTCGCTTGTTCCTGGTGATATCAGATTACTACCTGAACATTGTGCTTCATTTCATGCTGACGCGGAAAGGCACATTAAGAACTGTTTATTTTCACAGTATGAAGAGTGAAGAAACATAACAGTTTTAAAGGAACAATGGTCCTTTGTTTATTATATGGTTGTTTTTGTATGGAAATTGTGCACTAAAATGCTCATTGAAATTGGAAACACATTTCCAATTTCCCTTAATAAATATTTTATACTAAGTTTGAATTGAGTAACTAGACTAAAAACACAAACACACAAACAACTTTGAGAAAACTGAAGAGACAGAAGTGTGAAGTTAAGAATAAGAAACATTTACTGTGTGGTCCAAGCTTGGACTGCAACGTTTTTTTTAGCATGTACGGTAATTTCATTCAGTGAGAAGGAGGAACTGAGCTTTGGACCGGTCATAACCATGTCCTTTGTCTCCTTGGCAACAAACCAATGGGGAAGTTTACAGAGGCCAGCCCACTTTTACCTGCCTCTATGTCAGATAATCAGCCCTCGAGCTGTGTCTGGATTTGTAGGAAGAGAGCCAGCCGTGCCACAGAGAAAGCTACATTACAAAGGAGAACTGAGATAAGAACTACATTTTTACTCATCCTTTTGAAACAAGGTGAGAAGGGAGTTTTTCTTTTGACTCTATGGTATTAAAATCAGCAGAAGCAAGTAATTTTTTATCCAGACACATCTTTCGATGCAGGTACAAAAGGTTTAAGAGTTGCTGGGCGGTAACATATTAACCGGGCTGTGTTAGATCAGGTTCAGCTTATTTAAAACTAATGTCCGGAACCTCTTTCTACTTTTTGAAAATATGATGTGAATATATAATGCAGTCTTCTCATTGCCCAGTTCCCAATGCTTTTATGCATCTCTTGTTGCCTCTTGTTTTGCTCCCCTACGCAGGCTTTAATAACTATGGATACAATCTTTCTTCACCTGGTTTGCTGCCTACTCTTGTCTTTTACTGCGGAGACATATAGCTTGTTGGTTGATGATCTGAAAACCAACCAGACAACATCAGCTTCCTATTACTCCACTGTAAAAGTAACTGTTACAAACTGGCCCGAAGAAACATCACAACACACCAGCACGACGGCGGACTCTGCAACTCACCAACCCACCAACCCCGCAAAACTTAGCACAATGTCAGGTCACACATCTCAGTCGGCAACCACCATGACGTCTCCAAGTAGCAGAACCTCGGTGACGACCACTACACCGAGCACTCAGAGTTCAGTATTTACTTCAGAGACAACTAAATCAGTGCAGACCACAGTAAGTTCTTTGAGTACGTCACATGTGAATGAAAATGCATCTTACTCTGTCAGTACAGCAACAGAATCAGTGGACAGAGCCACACACGGTAAGCAGGTTCAGGATGGATCACATTATCAATGACTCACCAGCTAACTGTACTTTCATTTCACCGGCCCGTTTTAACAGGTTCCACCTCTCTGTGCCACTAGGGTTGGACCTCAACACATCTGAAAAGAGCATGACAATAATCTTCAGCGCTGTGCTGGGGGTGTTTGCACTGGGGATAGTGACAATTATGTTACACAAATGCAAACATAAAGTCCAATACTTGCACCAGCCAATTCACAGTTCAGAGGAAGCAGGTAAGCGTTTCTCCACCAGCGTGGCCTAAATGCAAACCGTTTCCTGGATCTTGTGATAAAACAAACATCTCTGAAATGTTCGACAGATGAATTTGTGGCTGGCGAAGACACGCTTGTTATTTCCGGAGGACTCTACGATGGCCATCCAATCTACGATCGCCTTCCACCAGATCCTCCCAACCAGTCACAAGTTTGTCTCGAGTTTTTTCGCTAAAGGACCATCCCTGCCCCCACAGTTCAGTGTCACCTTTGGTGTTTGAAAGAGGTGAAACATTATTTTCCTTATCTACTAACCAGTGAAAGTTCAGGACTGATATTCCACAGTGCATTCAAATTGTTCACACAAGGAAAACAGTAGCAGTTGCACAAATAATGAAGGGCAGGGCCTGGAACTATGGGAATTTTGCTTTATTTGAAACATTATAACAATAGAACACATTAATATATTAAAACAGAAATTTGAATAAGACATTTACAACAATATGAACTTGTGAAAATTCTCATGTGAACAACAGCAAATGTCAGTTCTTCTACTCAGCTGCAACACAACAAACAGCAAGTATGAACATAAAGTGTAGAGGCTGACTGTAGCCACAGGAAAAACTGTAAACAAACCTGAAATTGGAACTTTGAAATGATCTCAGTGAAAACAACTGTGTCTGTGATACAAATGAACGCTTCTATATATATCATTTAAAGAAAATAGTTATTCTATTAATTGAAGAATGTTTATTTCCTTCAGTTCCCTTTGAATTAAACCTGTCTAGTATTAATATCACCACTGTTAATCTGACCAGTCGATGAGCTACTTATGCAAAGACCTTTTCGTTGGTCTTCTTTTTTTTCTTGTCACAGCTAGTAACAGCTGTCCAACCTGCATCTCTCATTCTTTTAATAGCAGCCAGCTTCAGGGAGTTTCCAGGTGATTTCAGGGTGAGAGGACTCTACAAAAAACGAAAAAACAAACCCAAACTAATCCAAAATGAATGGCCTGAATTATGAATTATGATGAGCTACTCTTGTCACCGTACCTTTTTGAAGATGTTGACTCTGCACTTTGGAACAGAACCACTTTGTGCTTGTATACCAGCAAATGTCTTGCAGATTAAGAAACAGAAGATCAAACCAATGATTTCAGATTTGTTTTTAGACATTTGTGGAAAAAAAAAGGTTCACATATTCTTGGCAAGTAAAAATATTAACAAACAGAAGTAGCACTCACCAACAGATCAATCTGATCAGAGCTATCAGACTTGGGGTCAAGTTCAATGGTGGTCTTCCCCCACCTTGATGCCTTTGTGTCAGAGGGGGGTGTCCTAATCCTGTACGACTGTAGGGAACCTCAGAGAATGAGCGCTAAGAAAAGGCAAATATATTTTGGAGGAAAAATCTGAGCGATACAGCATATTACCTTGATCTTTGATGCTCCACTGATGCTGTTAGAGTAACCTCCGGGGGTTTTCATCTCCTCACTGGGAATAGGCTATAATGCAAAATATATCTTGAGTTATGAATTATCATAAATGCTACAGCAGGGTCCTGAATAAAAATAATAAAAACGGTATCTTGAATAAAAACTTGTGTATGTGTATTTATAATTGCAACTAGAACCAGTTAATTATTAGTTAATGAATAAGTTAAACCTTTTATTTTTGTGTTGAGCCCCATGCTGTGACTGATTATGGGGTAATATTGAAAAACAGAAATATTAAGCATCATAAATATTGACCTATTAAATCTCTACTGGTAACCATTGTTTGTCTCTCCGTAAATTAATTCATATTTGTAAATAAATTTCAATTTAAAGCCATTAAAGCCATGTCCCTCTTCCTTCATTTATAAACTCTGTTTAAGCTGGTCACAATTTATAACAGCACGCAGTCATAAGTTCCATTTTACTCCACAATAAATTTACGTTAGTAAGTGTGAAAAAAAGGGATATGTAGCTGAGGTTAATCAGTCACCGATTTAAAACCTGATATAGGATGTTTGTATTTCTCAAAAATGTAATTTAAAAAAAAAAATTTTAACTTACAATTTTCTGAAGAATTTCGTTACTTCCCTTGTTACTGTAGGAGGGGGTGTGTCTAGTCCTGGCGATGTCAAATAGGTGACTCTTTGACGAGCTGTCCTCTGCAGCATTAGAGCCTCTCCCCTGTTTATAGTTTGAGGCGTGAGAGTGGAATGTTACAAAAATTTTCCTGGCTAATTAAAATCATGATGATTGCCTGTTTGATGTGTTTACCTGCGAGTTCCTTATTTTCACAGATGACATTTCTTGCTTCAAATCAGTTAGCTCTCTGCTGAGGTTTTCCTAAAGGTCACACGTTTCAGAACTCATTAACAATTTTCCAGATGCGTAAACATTCTGGTGAGAGCTAAAACCTATTTAGATTGGGACATACCTTCTCTGCTGCTTTCAACACCAACTGTTTCTTGAGGTGGTCATTTTCCGTATGCTGGTTTAACAGATCTAACTTCTGCCAAGAATTTGCAAGGGAAAAGTTATGTTAGGAGTGATGTTTTTTATTACCTCTGAATTACAAATCATACCAATCATACCAGTGACTTTGCATGGGCAACTGCTTCCATCTTTTTCTTCTTATTCTCATCAAGCTCTGCATCCTTCTCCTCAACCATTCGGTCATACTGGCTCTAATGAGACAACGACAAGACGAAAGCCTTTGTATGCACCAACAACCTTTTCCAAACAGCGCAAGACGACAGTATAAATCCTACCTTATGTTTCTCCATCAGGGCAACCATATCTGCTATCTTGTGTTGACACTTGAGTTCTGTGTCTTCTTTGCTCTTAACGGCTTCTGCTGCCGTTAATTTCAGCTTTTGTACCTGCAGCACAAAATGTTTTAATTGACATTTTAAGTTACAGAAGAGTTGAAAATATCCAGATAAAAAAAGAAAAGCTTACTTCATTCTCAAGCTCTGTTGCAAAGGCAGTCTTTGACTCAAGATCCTTCAGCATTTTCTTCTCTTCATTGCTGAGACTTTTCAGCTGTTGGGACTCCTCTTGGAGCCTCTCAACCTAAGGGCAAAAAACAGGGTGAGATTCGTAAGTTAAACTGTACATTAATGTTATCAGGTGGAAGACGTACACAGAAAAAAAAAGGATAGCCTACCTTAGTCTCCAGCTGACTGGATTTAGCAGTTTCCTTTTCTATTTGTTTCTTGAGGATTTTGTTCTGAAATGCAACAAAAGAAGACTGAAAAATGCTATTCTTTATCTGTGCTCAATGTATCTAGTTTCATGGTCATTGCAAACCTCTTTCTTGTACTCTTCCTGGGTTTTTAATTTAATTTCAATTCTTTTTCTGAAACTGCACAGCTTTAAAGCAAAACAATTTTGAATTAGTTCCATGAATTATATTCAATATAAAAAGTATTTCTTATTTCGCTTATTTCAGACACCTTTGATTCCATAGCTTTGATCTGTTTCTCTTTTACTGTAATTTCTTCCTGCAAACGCTCACACTGTTAACAAAAAAGCACAAAGAAAATCATTTACCATTTCCAAGAAAGCTAAGCTTATACAGCCTTTGTTTCGGTTGATTGCTGCTTTAAATAGCACACTTACGTTTTCTTCAATTTTCTTTTGCAGAGTTTCGGTTTCTTGACATTTCCCTTGGACTCTATTCCTAATGGTATCTACTTCGTTGCTATTCATTGGAACACATAAAAATCCATATAAAAATGACTTGTCTAAGCTCATGCGGCGCGATAAAAGTGCAAACTCACCGTAAGCACTGATTCTCTCTTTCCAGTGTTTGAATTTCTTTTTTGAGTTTCACTGTCTTCTCCTCACTTGCCTGAATCAAAGCAGTTTTCAGACTTATTCACATAATAAAGAAAGCCATGAATACACAAATACTAATTAAATCCATTGTATCCTATTTAAATAGAAAATAAATGAGTCTAACCTTTCTGACTGCCTCCGTAGCTTTAACGTTGGTGAATCCCTTTTCAAATTCCTTTTGTATAATCATCTTTTCAGTCTCCAAGTTGTTAAAGTTTGACAGCAGTTCTTCATACTTCCCTCTGAAAGAAACAAAAATACACAAAATGTATAACATCTGACATCTATGTGCTACTAGGACTGACTGCTGCACTCACTCCTGCAGCATGATGTCTTGTTTTAGTTGCTCCATCTGTAAGGTGGAGTCTTTATTTTTCTTCATTTCATCAGCCAACTTTCCTTCCAGCTCATCCATTTTGGTCTAAATATATGACAACACAGAAATATTCTAAATATTCATTTTACATATATATTAGTATTGTAAATATTAAACTACACAGCCTAACGTATTTTCCCAAAAAGATTTATCTGTTGTGAGAGTGAAGAACATTCAAGAACCTCCATCAGAGTGGACTTGTTCTTCAGATCTTCTTTTTCTTTTTTAAAATCCTCATTAGCCCGCTTAAGCATATCGATTTCATCTTGAGCAGCCTGAGCTTCATTCTGTTTTTGTTTTTTTTAATTAAAAAAATATATATAATTTTCATCTTCAGAATATTTTAAAGGCATGCCTTTTTCCTACTTAGATAAAATATAGATTTGTCACCTGAAACATCTGCATTTCTTCTGTCTTCTTTGAAAGCTCTGCCACAAGTTCCTCCACCCTACCCTTAAAAGATTAGATGGATTGTGATTTTATTTCCAATGAAAAACAGCATTTCATTTCTCAAGTCATTTTCTGTACTGTTGTTTTGGTTCTGCAGTGGTAAGAAAACAGAGACAACATATCTTAAGAATACTGAAAATGTAGCTTACCTGTTCTTCTTTGAGGGTTTTAATCAGGTCATCTTTCTTTGCAGACTGTTCTGTGGCCTCTTCTGTTAAGCAAAACATTGTTTTTGTATATCAAAAACACCTATAAAGAATATCAGCACAAACCAGCCTGAAAAGCTCACCTAAAGATGTAGTTCTCATTTGAAGCTCAATGTTGTTTTCAATGAGTTCCTCTTGCAGATCTTTGGACCTTTAAAATGAGTAGTGATGTAATATAAATGCAATATTCCAATGTTCTGGATATTGCGCAGGGAATTGTAAAGATTCATTCTACCTCTCTGTCTCTAAAGCAAGTGAATTCTTTAGTTCTTCTATGGTTGTCTGCAACTTCTCCAGCTTCTCAGTCTGTTGACTTTTAACTGTGATGAGCTCCTGCACACTGAGGTCTTTGTTTAGAATGATTTGTTCGTAATCTTTTCTACTTTGTTCCAGGGCTGCAGCAGTGGTCTCCTCTTTTTTCTATTTTGGAAGTGTTATTTTTAAATAAAAGCAGAAAGGGAACTCAACCACTTTAACAATAACTCTAAAGATATTCACCTCGGCTTCTTTACAGCACTGCTCAGCTGTTTGCAGTTTCTGGAGGAGGGATTCCTTTTCATTTTCAAATTTCTTCAGAAGGTCCAATTGTTGATCTGTTAAGGCAGAAAATATTCAGTTATCAACAGACTTACAAAGTACACAGATATTGATATACTGTATAACTGGACTTTAACAGTCGTGGCGAAAGATGAAGACCTACAATGACCAACAAATTCTCTATAATGTTTACATGCAGTGATCTAAGAGGACAGACATCTGGCCTGGCTTAAGACCCCTGTTTAGGTACACCCTAAACAAACGTCCACGCTCTCGCTTTCACTCCTAGGGGTAATTTAAGAGTGTTCAAGAAATCTAACATACATGTTTTTGGACAGAAACTGGAGTACCCAGAGGAAACTCACGGAAATGTAAAATGTAGCCATACCTGTTGAATCCTGGAGTTGTCTGCAACAGTTCTGAGTTTTATCAAGGTCAAGCAGGACCTTTTGCAGTTCATCTTCCTTATCCTTAAGTGTAGCCTGAAGCACTGTAATCTGTGAACATAATGCAAATTCTCAGGTGGTTTCTTTAAAATACTTCTGTCATAACTTTCATGTTACAAGCTGTCAAATAGTATGAAATGAGTTCTCGTTAACTCACCTCCTCATTTTTCATCAAATTTTCCTGATGATATTTCTCTTTTAGGTCTTCAAATTGCACCAAACTATCTTTGACTGAAAAGAGACCCAGCAATCAGCTTTCTTGCTCGTTGAGAAATCCCTTCCATGTTCATATGCTATGAAATGCTCTAAATTTGAATACTTCTCTGCATCTCCTGTTGGTCGGCTTCCACTCGAATACGAAGGTTTTCAAATGCTTCAACCATTTTCTATAAGAAAAAAAATCAAAACATATTTCCAACTATACTGATACCCATTCATCTAAATATGAACAAAAATAAAATATCATTATGAAATACTTTAAATTTAGCATTATTTTACCTTGACACTGTCACTATTTTCCATGAAGACTTGATGTGTTTCTTCTCTTTCAGATTCAACTACAAAATAGGCAGTAATTAATACTTCTCATTCCCTTTATTACAACACTGGCAGAAAATGTACCATATATGGTAAAAAATAATCCACTGAACTTACACAAATGCATTTTCTCAGCCGACCACTGAAACGTTTCTTTGAGTATATTACACAGGCTCCTTGTTGCATTGTTTCTGTATTTAAAGAATATAATTGCACATGAAATGAGGAACACTTACATGTATTATGTCACATCTATTATGACTTTATTAGCAAAGATTTGTGCACAAAATCTTTTAAATATATATACTTGTTCCTTAAATCTTCATTTTCGCTGATTTGCTCCTCTAGTTTTATGCTGAGACTTTCGTTTCCAAACTGAAAACACAAAACATACATTGGAAAAAAACAATCACAGATTGAAAAGCATTGGTCCAATCAGCACTGTTTGCTTTATACATACAAACTTAAAATATTTATTATGAATATGAGGTAGGACAAAAAACACCATAAAATACTAAACTTCATACCTGCAATTCCTGAATAGCTTTACGCTGAGTTTCAATTGTTCTTATGTTATCTTGGAGTCGCCTTTCCTTCTGAACGATGTCAGAGTCCATCTTGACCTTCCAACATTTTATTCTCTCAAATTCATTAAATAGCTTGGAATAAAGCTCACCAGTATTGCAGTTGTTCTGTGGACAATTTTCAAAACGACAAAATAAAGTGCCACACCTAAAATTAACCGTAGGCAACGACCACATGTATCTACAGATAGACTTTTACACAATGAAAATATTACCTCATCTTTTTCCATTGGTGCCACAATGGTCATCTTGACAAAGTCTTCAGAGGACAAAAAAAAAATAAAATGCATATGTGTGATAATATTCACCGGGCATTGTTTTTCATGTCTGTGTTGTCTTTAAATAGTACCTTGTCTGGTTGGTTTGGATGATGTGATTACACTTGTATTGGAGGAAGGCATGTTCAGTTCTTTGTCACATTTATTGAAACCCTAAAGGAAAAGAGCCAGAAAAGTCTTTAGTCTTAAAAGAGACTTTCTATGCCTTAAGACAGCCACCTTAGTCAAATAAATGACAGAATTTTGAAATACCAGGTTAAAAATGCATACTTAATGTCAGCTCTTCTCAGTCAGCTAGATTGAGTTATAGCCAAGAGCTGACTTACCTTAATAATAACCTGAGAAAATGCTTGATTTTCTACAGAACTATACATTTAATTTTACATGTTGATGAGGTTTAATATTTCCAATTTGTTTTTAAACACAGAATTATAAGATGTTATGGATCAATGTAATAATCTTAATTGTAAATAGTCAGGTAAGGATATGTACTTCAAAATTGTGCTTGCCAATGCAAAGTTTTGGGGTTAATTTAAATTCAAACCGATGCAGGTAGCCGGTTTACAGTTAAATTACGAGTTTTGTCGTGACTTTGTGGCTCACGTTTTTGTATAATATGTATATGAAGTTAGAAAAGCCTACTTTCGTCTGTGACTTACTTGCTGTAATGCATTCAGGAAATCATCATTATTGTCAAGTATTTCCTGTGGTCGAACAGCGTTTATTTGGCCGGTTTTAACTCTAGGAGGCACTAACAGTTTAAAGTTGAAACCCCGGTCTCTGTCCATTCTGAAATGACAATAAATGCAGCGTTCCGTGTTAAAGGTGCCATTAAAGATTAATTCCCCGTATGTAATCAATTAAACAAATACATGGCAAGATTTTCAATATTCTCCCGTTTATCAATTCGTGAAGATGGGAAATAAACGGTAGGATTAGCTAGTTAGCTTAGCCAATTAACTAATAAGTTACCCGTATACATTTACGTTACGTTACAACTATAGTTAGGTTAAGTACATTGAGTCGATACTACATCCCGGAGAAACCGTGATAAATTAGTAATAGAAATGACAAATATTCGCTACATACTAGACATAATATTTTTTAACAGCGTTACCTGGTTAAACTGTATTTTTAACGGCTTAGGTTTTCAGACCCAATGCTGCGCGTGCAACAAATGTTCGTTTAATAACCGTTAAACCTCCGTCAACGGTTCACGTAAACGTCTGAAAGCGTGAATCCATTATCGGACACATTTAAGGTGACAGTCCAGTTTATTTTCACTTCCTGAATAGGCTTAAACGTGAGAAAGGATCTTATATTTTATGATTTTTTTTTTAAATAAAATCCTTTCAGACATGGCTAAGAATGCTGGGAATAACCAGACCCAGTGTCAGAAAGAACAACTTTAAATCAAATGACACCTTTCTCAAAATTGTTCAATGTTATACAAATCTTTTAAGGCAAGAGTTTAGGTCAGATAAAAGTAATCCAAAAAGACCTAAAATGTTTTCATTTCAGCTACTTTATGATGCACACAGAGATAATGGGCTTTTATACAATTATTATTTGTTGTTAATATTTAACTTAACACCCTAAACCTAAATAAGATTTGGCTCAAGTAATAAAAAAAAGAATAAGGTTTCCATCTTTAAAGAGGTATCCTTTCCATGCATGAGTTTTATGGGAATCCAACACAGTGAACATTTGAATTTTTTTCCCTCAATGGTAATTTATTTCTATCCAACATAACTTCCATATACAGAATTGATCAAGTTGCAGTCAGTGGACCATTTTCCCATTATGTTGGCACAGAAAGTTGTGCAGAGGTTTTGGTGAACCAATAATTCAAAATGACAACTTGTTAGCTGAACAAAAAAGAAAAAAAAAGGGAAAAAAAGCAATGTTTACAAAGAATTAGTGAAATACATTGTTCCGTAAGAATCAAAAATCTTTGTTAGCCAAAAAAAAAAAAAAAAGTAAAACATTCAAAAGGTTAAAAACATTATATATAATATACTTCTGGAAATTTAAAGGAGTTTTTTAGTTGATCTTACCTAACCTACTCATAGAAATTTAAATGTCTCGGTGCAAATGTAAGAGGTATTTTATGTGGATTGCTTTTTAAGGTTTAAAGAGTTCTAATAAATGTGAAACTACACTGAATTGCAACAGAATCCAGGATTTTAAATGAGTCTTCAAAAGCAACACATCATTAAAAAGATGACAATGTTAACAATTTCAAACAGCAATCCAGTTATCAAGAAGACACTTCACTGAAAACTGTACAACTGGCACAGTACGGAGCATTAGACAGAGTCCTCTGTGTTCCTAGCCTCTGACACATCTTTGGCTGAACTGTCCTTGTTGGACGTTTGTTCTCTAACTCCAACCCTGCCCAGTCTCTCCTCCTCTTTTTTCTCTTTGGCCAACAGTCGATAGTTGAGTCCCATTCCCGCAAACAGGAAGACACTGGCGACGAGGAGGATGACCCCACAGCTCTGGTATGTGTACCTGTAGTCATTGTAGATGTCTTTGAATTTTCCTGTTAAGACAAAAAGTGACATTTCATCATCGTTTTTCTTTGGTCCACAGTACAGCTTAAGTGAACAGCATGCAAAAGAACAAAATAATCCCTTAAGTGTGTACTCACCAAGCAATGGGGGCCCCAATAATACGGGACCACACTCAACAATAGTGACCAATCCAACAGCACTTGAGAAGCGCTGGGTTCCAACTAGATCCATCAAGGTTTCGAAAAGCACTGAGCTCAGCCAGCCAAAAGCAAATCCGAAGAAGATAGCATAAATAATAAAACCTGTGTAGTCAACTGAAATTGGAGCTAGAACATGACACAAACCATTGTACAGCACAGAGGCAGCAAAGAAGTACTGGATTCTGGGGCGGACCCACTTGGTGTTGGCCACCATGCCCATTGAGGGCCGGGCAAACATGTCAACAAAAGCTAGAATAGAGAGCAAAAAAGCTGCCTTCTCTTTGGGAATGTCTTTACTCTTGGCATAATTTGAGAGGAACACCAAAGGTGTAAAAAGACCAAAAAACATGACAACATTGCCAATAAGGTAGAGCAGAAATCCACGGTGCTTAAACAAAGTGAGGTCAATGAAGCTGTTGATGGTCTGCAGAGCAGTTCTTCTCTCAGTGGACTTCTCCACAGGTTTGGGTTTTGGTCCTATTGGTCGCATAAGGGAACCAGCAACACAGCAGTTGAGGAGCAGGCCACCCAGGATCAAAAAACTTCCTCTCCACCCGAACTGGTCAAACAGCCAAGTGTTAAAAGGAGCCAAGGTGGAGAGAAAGACAGGACTCCCAGCCATGGCAAGCCCATTAGCAATAGGTCGCTTCTTGTAGAAGTATTTTCCAATCATAGTGAGGGCAGGGTTCAGGTTAAAGGCCAATCCCAAGCCTTAAAAAAAGAAAAACAAACAAACAAATGTATTGAGATACATTTTAAAATAAATGAAAAAGACAGGTTTTACTTAAATGTTTGGAATGATTTTTTTTTACCTTTTAAGCACACTAGATGGCAACAGTAAATAGTAGAAAAAAAAACACAAAAAAACTGGGTCATGATTAAACTGAGTTACTGAATATGAAAAGATGACAAACCTCCCAGAACACCAATGCAAAAGTACAGTCCTTCAACGCTGTTGCAGAAAGAGGAGGCAACAAGGCCGATTCCAGACAAGCATCCCCCTGCCATCATAACAGGCCGACTCCCATATTTATTAACCAGGATGCTGCTGATGGGCCCTGAAAAACAGAACATCACATAGGGGATCCTGAAAATGATCTATCAGACATTTTTCCATTCACCACCAGAGGGCACCGATGCCTCAGTTGTGGCTCGGCTAATTCATACTACTCCTGCAATAGTTTGTGTCAGTGCTGCACTGCAGTGGATGTGTTCTCATGCCATTATTAATGTGATCCGTCAGGAAAACGAAAAATGCTGCAATGAAATAATCATTCGAGTTGGTGAATTGTGAATACTGACAATTTGCTCGGAAAATCCACAAACGCTTTCCAAATGCATCTCAAATTACAGTTGAAAGTATTTCAGATGTGAAAAGTAAGCAGAGGCATCAGTAGTTTTTTGGGGGGCTTGCATGGGAGGGATATTTTGGCACTGGTTTGTGCTTACTGAGAGGGGAAGAATGTTAGAAATCAGTTGTGGCACCTTGGGCCAAAGTTACAGATAAAGGCCTGGCTGAATTTGGCAAGAGTAAGTCCACCCATTATGATGCACGCACGCATACTGAATTCAACATGACTAAAATATATTTTCTCTTTAAAAAAATAAAAAGAATAAGAAAAAATGCCTTGATTTGCAGACAAATGACTAAAATGCACATACGGTTCAGGTCACAACAACTTATAACAACCAGGATAAATGAGTAGGAAGATCCACATGGAAGACACTTCTGCGTTCCTGCCAAATCCCCACAGTCCCCAATGAGTCTAAATGGAATCTGACAGTTTTTGTTTAGAGGTTGTCCAGACTCATTTGCCGGCACGGTGCTAGACAAAGGGTTTTTAAATTGTAATGCAGGCAGTCTCCTCACGAACAATGAGTTCTTTCCCCCTACTTTGCAGAGAGGGTTGCTTAGGATATAAAAGGTTGGAGACATACCAATGTAGAATATTATGAATGTAATGAATCAAAAATTGAAGTACAGGAGTACGCAACAGTAGGCCGTTAATGAACTTCTGCTGATGTGCTCAGAATTTAACAGCCAGATGGGAACAGACTGCCATCTACTCACAGAACTAACAAATAATTCCTCTATCTATACCCAGGTCCAGCACTATGCAGAACTTGCATTTATTCATGTAGTTTAAGTCTAATCATTTGCGTCAATCAACACTACTTTCTTACTTATCTGTACATGAGTTGTTTATAAAAAATACATAAATAAATACAAAGCCTCATACGTTGCTGGAGATGAGGCCCATTATAACAGATGATGGAAATTATGGAACACCATTCCTTTGATTACACAAAGAAAACATAAAAATCTCTGCTGTTCAGCTGGGTTGAACGCTGGTGACTTAAGGCTTTATCATAGAATTCTCAAAGTCCAGACACTTCATGTCCAGTGGATGGGGGCATTGTCATTCTGCAGGAGGCAGCTCCCATCAGGATAGAGACGTTTTCCTCAGTGGATAAAGATGATCTCTTAGACCAACTTCATATTGATTTGAGGTGACCTCTCCCTCTAAGGAAACAGGTGGACCCACAGCACGCCAGCACGGTAGGAATGAAAGGTTAAGACATTTCCTGTTTGTGTATTGAGGCTGATGCAGGGTGTAGTCTGTTGAACATGTGTAGATCTCATTTAAAGCCGACATAAAATGCAGAGTGTTAAACAACACTGAAGTAAGAAGGCAGATGAAACGGTCTCATTTTTAACAACTTTCTGCTCCCTTCCAATCTTTCTGCAGCTACTCGTTAGTAGAAGACGTTGCTGAATGAAATGAATAAATTCCTTAGAAAAGAGAACACTAGCAATTATGAGACTTTGACAAGCTGTTAAACATTCCCTTGTCAGGCCAAACCGCTCAAATTAAAAAAGCATGGAACAACTTTGGTTTGCATGTTTTATGTAGCAAGGAAAGTTGTTTTTTTTCCCCCGTAAATGCTGCACGTTTCAAACCATGGACGCAATGCTAAAGGTTTTAGGTTATCCTACACTGAAAACATCCAACTTGATCAAAGTTATGTGAAGGGCTTTTGAGACTTTTCATATTGCATAACATCTTCCATTTGATAAGTTTGAGACCTTACAATCACCTTCAAACTTTCCTGATTTTGGAAGTCAACTTCTGTTGCAATTTCTCCAGTTTACCAAACATTGCAGGAGATCTGATATCAGAACAGGCATTCATATGGGGACAATGGGGCCCGTTTGAACTCAGTTTTCTGTGTGCATGCACGAGTGGCGCTATCACCACCTGACCAGAAACAGATGACATCATCCAGCATCTCATTCTTCTGCTGAAACAACCAAACTCCCTCGTGGTCTTCCTCTCTCACAGCACAAGGGAAAAAGGTGTGTGGGTATACAAAGCTAAAACCCATTCATGTGCTCCTGAGACGGATCGTGTTTCAACAACATTCTCAAAGAGGAGTAGAACTATTGTTTTCCCTCAGTAACAAATGTTTATTAACTCGTCTGTGTTTCGAGTGTGAGAATCTGTGACCTCTGGATAGAATATGATTAAGACACTTCTCGGAATGGCTGCATTTCAGAAGAAAAACACCAAACTTTTAATGAATACCATAAATAAATCTTAAATAACAAAGATCATAATAATAAATCTTTCAGTTATGGTAACAGCTAAAACTGTATTAAATCTATAAATCTTCCTGAAGTGCCAAATATCATGTGCTAAAAGTCTGCGTGTGACCGCTTATATTTTAGATTGCTGCTCACCTCCACCATACATGACTGCCAACATTATGGAGGAGATCCAGGACACCTGGCTGCTCGACACATCGAAGATAGCCTCGATTTCTTTGAAGAAGACCGTGATGGACTTCGGGAATGCATAAGAAAAGCCAATAGAGATGAAGGCTCCAAGCACCACCATCCAGCCCCAACCACCCTCTGGAGGAGTATAGCCCTGTGGGCCACCGATGGCAGCCGGCATTTCTCCTCAGTTATGAATCTGTTCAGAGGGAAACAAAGAAATGACTGCATTATAAAAAGACAAGCATTTAACTTATGAATGAAGTTGTAAGGAGAAAAAAATGGTTTTATTTGTCAAGATGTAGAATTTTTTTCATGATATCCATTTGGCAAACTAAAACACTGCAAACAGTTACAAAATTATTTCATATGAACTTTTGAAAAAAAAAAAAAAAAAAAGGAACTGGGTTGTGGTTCTGCAGCAGGGTCAATGCCCTTAGCTGGACTTTAAAAAGGAAGCTATACAAATCTGCATCTAAGTTTTATTTTCAGCGTTATTTTGTCCACCCTGCAGTTCACACCACTGCGTCACTTTAAATTCAGGCTAATAGTTCATGCTTTTAACTGGTGCCGCACCAGCTGTGCTGAAAAAACAAACATCTGGTTAGACTCCATCTTGGCAGAACAATAAGGATTTATTTTCCTTTTAGAAATGGATGCCGATCCATTTTTTGTACCCAAGTTCAGTGGGAAAAGTTTGACACCAGTCAGAGCTGTGTATGTTTGTACATGCAGCTTGGGCTGTAAATGCCCATCAGGGTGGGTCTCTCAACTTTGAATGAGTGTCATTTTTGGAGGTGTTCCTGGATTTAGCCCTTTTTCCAGGACACATTCATTTATCAGAATCCTTGATTTAATTTCCTTTAAGAAAAAGAATTCTGTAAGCGTTCAACTGATTTTTTGCAGTTGCAGAATTAGAGAAAGAGGTAATGCATGTAGATGCTCAAAAATGCTGCCCTTAATTTCTCAGACAGTGACTAACAGCACACGCTTGCTCAACTGAACCATTTCATTTTATTTTTCCACTTCTAACATGTCTTTCAATCACCTGGAGAATTAAGATCTGGTTCAAGAAGAATTCACTCATTAATTAAAACATTATCCTCAAAACACAAAAAAGAAAGACACCAGCTTTTACTGTGAACCCATGCTCAGATTTGCATCTGCTTGAAGCCTTCATTTCATAGTACTAACAGACTGAACTTTAGTACCTCTCTTCAAACATATTGACTTTGTAGCTTACAAAAGATGCCTTTTATGCTGATTAATGGCTTCCTCCTTGGCGCTTTGTGCCAATATGAGTGTTAATGAAAAGTAACCAGAGTTTTCATAATGAACTTAATCCATGACTTAGTTTTAATAACTAAGGATGCTTTTTGTGTCCTGCTTTGTTTTGAATTGCTCTCTTAATGTAATCACCGAGCTTTTAGCCACCGATCTCCCACACTGATGAAGAGTCCATCTGCAGTCAAATAACTAACTGTATTGTTTACAAAGGAAGGACTGTCCAGAGTGAACATTGATCAGACTGAACACGAGCTGAATTTACACTACTCAATAGCTCAGGGCTATGCACAAAAGTGGGTGATAATACAGTGTTTTTCAGCCAAGCAAGACTTGATGTGGTTGATAAATTTGTTTAGCTCTGAGAAATGATTGGATAAGCCTGTTGTGTGCAGCAAGTAGTGAATATTTAATGTATGAAAGAACTTTTGTTATTGAGCTGGGATTTTAGTTGGTGCTGTGCAGCTGTAAATGTGCTTCTTGCATTACTCTACAGTTTCAATAGGCTATGGGAATGAAATAAGAACTCTCAGTATCAGTGTTATTCATCCATTACGGGCCTCTTGGAATAATTTAGTGACCACTTGGGTGAAGCTAATGAAATTTGCATATATATTACATATAAAGATAACATACATGAAATGGTTTTCTGGATGTTTACTACTGTTGGAACAGAGAAAATGCTACTTCCACCACTAACTGATGCAGATTTAACATTATGGTACAAATCCCAACCGCTGCTTTCTTTTCAGCTTTAACCAAGTTAAATACTTTGGTACCACAGCTCAGATTTTGATGATCTTTGCAGCAAACCAAATGAAGAAAAAGTGCACTAAAATGCCTGCTCTTTAAATTATGATCTTGGTTTTATTTGTTCTCTAAGCTCAATAGAGAGTTCAGTGACGTTTCAAACCTCAATATTGGTTAGATTTATGAGAAATTATATGCATAGTTGTGCTCTACACAATCACTGGCATTGTTATTGCAGCCCACACATTTCCCAATGAAAGTGGCTACAATAAAACACCAATGTCTGTGTCTCCAGCTTCATGAGAGACATGGATGAACTGTGTCTTTACTGAACAGGGAAAGGATTAGGAGTTATTCCTGAGTAGGTACCACCACCACCAATAGTTTTGACTTTGTTAAGATGATCTCGAAAAGGTAATATTTCCTTAGTTGTTAACAACTAGACTCCAATTTTTTTAGAGAAGCTTATTTCCTGTGAAAGTTAGTTTTATTTATTATTTTTTTTCTCAAAATCTTCATTAAATCTGGTAACTTGACAATTTTGGTACCAACACACAAACATGTATAGACTTTGAACTAGGAGTTACTCAAGAAGAAAAAAAAAAAAGAAAAAAAATTCAGACCAGGTTTTTCTGACCAACATCAAACATAAACAAATATTAGCTGGAGCTTCCCTTTACCTCTACGTTTACTGCAAGACCTTAAGCATTCTCAGTCAAAGGAATACATTAGCACCAAACAAATAAAAAGCCCAGTACCATAAGTCTCAGCTGTACTCACCTTCAGTAGGCGCAGGACGTGGATGTTCTGGACTCCCCACAAACACTATGACCTTTTCTTTAAAGCACAGGACAATCAAAAGAGCACCGGTCAAAAAATTTTCATTGTGGAAAGGCAGACATCACAAATCACAGAGGCACCTTTAAAATAAAGAGGCGTGCAAGTGAAAGCTCGTCAGTGTTTGCAGGCAGTTCTGTGTGTATTCTACAGGAAATTCTGCTGTGAACAAGAGATAAATGCAAGAATAAGTTGTGATAGACAGGCCCTCTGTTAAAACTGAACTCTACAAATGATAAATAAAACATCGGATTTCCTGCGGTGGATTCATCACTAAGCTACTAAAAATATATATATATATATATTTTTTTTTAAAAAGGCAAAGAGCCAAGCCAAATGAGAAGACAAATGGACAGAGGCAAGAGTCCCCCCCCACACAAAACAGTGTACATGTCTAAATAAAGCCGTCGAAGTGGGCGGCCTTTAAATGACATTTGACAGCACATACCAGCACAAAGCTGGGCAAGCTCAAAGGACGTGAGCTGGAGTATAACCAGGAATTGGAATATTTCTACAGTGCGTCTCTTGATGCTAATAATTGAAGTGATCTCATCAACACTTCAACCTGTTGCAGCTCCATCATCCTTGTGACTGTGCACTTTATAAAAAATATCAAGCTCCTCCTGTCGGGTCCACAGCTTTTGTCTGCTGAATTCTGGTTTGGCTTCATTTCGGTCAAACGTGTAAGAATGCGTAAAAACTTTTTTCCCAGCAGAAGAAATTTGACATATCTTCCCTTTTTATGCTTTACGGCCTCCTCTAACCTCACGTTTCATATGCTGCACATTAAACTCGATGAATTGGACAGATTATGGATGAGAAAGGCGGGTTAAATATTTGCTCAGAAAATTACGAAGTCATAGCTTTTTATAATACAGACTGAAGTTAAATGATATGAGTATCCAGTTGAAGATGGATCCCTTATCCAAGTAATTATTTTCCAAAGTGATATCTGTTAAATGTGCATACTGTCTGTGTCAAGCATCTTACCTTGGCAGGAGGATAGATGAGCTCTGCAGATTATCTTTCAAAAGGCACGTTATTGCAGAGCAGACATCACTGAATAGGACTGAGTGCCTCTGAATATGGATGGAATTAAAGAAGAAAAAAAAAAAGTCACTTCATATGTTTGACAATTACTCCAGAGGGGTTCTGTGTGTCACTCTCCACTGTGAAAGTCCAAGAGCTGCCAATGGCACATCAGCCTGTATCTGTTCAGTGTTTAAAAGTTGACTTCTTTCAGTGCCCTGAGGATCTACACCACTATGGTGCTAAATGGTGGGGTCAGCCCAGCTCTTATTGGCCCTTGTAGACTTAAGAGCCATGCCCCTAACAAAGCTTTCTCCACCCCTCTGTCATGTGCCGAGCTCAGACAGAAGGTCAGAATAATTCACTGCACAGGACTATAGTATGTGTGTTCTAAGAGGATATCAAAAGAAGAACAAAAAAAACACTCAAGGAAGAAAATGATTTCCGAGATTCCGCTTTCCTGTTGTACTCCAATTAGACATCATATTCAATGGAGTATTGGAGTTTCAAGGGAAAATAAATGTTTCTCTGAAACAAGAGACATTGTTGACCTCAAGCACCTGAAGAAAGACTTTTGAACACTTCAGGGGTTAGTCCTGGTTGAGCCTTCCTCTCACTCTCCCTGTGGAGTCATTAGGGATTCCATATCAGTGCATGGGAAAGGAAAAGCTGAAGTACAGGAGGTTATAGCAAAAGCATGCAATTGCAAAGTGCCTTCAAATTCTTCACTCTTGAAACAATATTTCTTCTTTGCCAAGTCGTTTTTAATCTTGTTCACCTCATTTTGTTAACTTGCTGCTTTTCAAAGAGAGGAAGCAATACAGCAGCACCTTTTGTGGGTTTGCGTTGATAAGCAGTCTGAAAAATCAGTTTGACACAAAAGCATTTGTATTTGCGCACACTCCTAAACAGTTATGCATCAATAGGGCTTTAGACCTTAAACTGAAAATGAACTCTAAATACAGATGTCTTGCTAAAAGCCCAAATAAACTATGTATTTATAATAAAGTCTCATTTAATTTCAGTCCAACACTTTGCTTTGAGATCAACTTCAACTCTACTGAATGTACATTGAAAGTAACATTTGGTAACAATCCTGTGGTTGACACTAGAAAATCTAAGAGTTGCTGTTATTGAGGGAGCATATTATTAGTATCAACATTTAGCTCAAAGCACTGTCTATCAAAGCTGTTTTTCCAGTCTTTTTTGTGCATGCACAGTCTCTTTTTGTAGCCACTTCGGCTTTCAATCTGAGAAGGACTCAAGTGCTCCCGTCATGTTCAAGCATATCACCACAGTATGCTTTTCCTTTGTTTCAATGAATGCATATTTGAACCGATAATTTGTATAAATCGCCGTCTTATGCGGTACCTGAAGGAAAAAAACTAAACGACAACAAAAAAACGTTGTCATGCCACTGCTGGGTGCAGGTACAGAATCTGCCCATTTCATCAACGTAATCTCTCTCGGGGACCTTATACTCAACTAACTTGGGGACAATGACATCATCCCCTCTCCCAGCACATCCCAGGATATCTGGTCGTCTGTGTGTACGTGTCAGACCTGTCGTTGCCTCGAGAGCTGATTGTTCTGATCCTATTGTATATGGCGTCAACGACCAGGGAACTTTCTGAATGTGCAAAGGGAGATGGGTAATCAGGCTGTTATGTGCACTAATCACAGTCCAGGTTGCACTGATTGCTAACTGCGGTCAAAGAAAAAAAAATAAAGGAACAATGAAACACAATGACAATGCATCTTAGTACTGGGAACACAGGGTCACTATTACATCTGTTTATCCAGTTGATTTAAAAAAACAAGACAAAAAAAAAAAACTTTGAGACAAGAAGTGAAGGGTAAAAGAAGCCTACACCTCTCCATGCAGTTAACACATCCCTTCTGTTTGGTAGACCCAGGGCTTTAGGAACCATTGTAGTTAAAGACCTTATTCATTGTCAGAGGGATTAGAATTGATCATCTTAGCCATGTGAAATCCAGCTTGTATGCAGCATAACAAGCTGCAGTAATGCATGTTTTAAATCATACCAGCACATTCTCAGTCAGCCTACTGAACAGAACCTGACATATCTTCCAATGCACTGCTTTGCTTATGTGCACAAATATGATTTGCCACATTTTTTTGAAAAGGATGTTTTATGAGGTTTATTTAAAAAATGAATACATTAAAAAAAAAGATGCTCCAAAGAGGATCCAACTGCAGCAGCTCCAGCTTTAACTGAACTGAATGCAATTTACTGTGGCCCACACAATTGACAACCTCAGATCAAAGGTCAGTGAAAATTACCTTTTAGCAAGAAAAGAAAATAGAGAAAATCTTGACGTAGTGAACTGAGAGAGAGCAGTGTTTTCATACGGGTCAAGGGGTGGGCATAATGTCAAAAAAGCCAATTAGCTCACACATCCAAGTTGCAGTAACAAGAAAGCTTGCACCTTGCACAATGTGTAAAAGGGCCTCAGTGCACCACACACCCATCACAACCTCCGCTTCCACCCCACCCCACCCATCAATGCAGGTTCTTGTTTTTGTCCTTTCCCTCCATGAAGGGAAAAGGATTTTTGGCAGACATTTTCTCTGGCACGAGGCCAAGCAATAGTCGCCCGGATCCTGAAGCTGACTGAAAGTCTGTCCGGATCTGGTGGCGATGCATCATTTGCTCAGAAAAGCTGTACAGGGGACGTTAATCTGGAGAGGCTTACTAAAGGATAGAATGCATTTATTAGGTCCTTGAGACTTGAGGAGATACACCCATCACGCTGGGAATACAACGCGACTTCTTCACACCCTAAACAGTGTAGTATATTCTCATTTTATCGACATTTAAATCATCGAAAACAGAAATATGGACAAAACATTTGACTTAACAGAAAAGGAGGTCACCAGAGTAGTCCAAGTACCACTCACGAAGACAACGAAAGTTTTATTTTAACAACAAACAGGAGCTACATGACTGTTGGTATTTATTGTTCATCTAAAGCCGCACCCATAATAGCACGGATGTCATATCTTAAGTTTAAAGACTGATGGCACCCTGCTGATTCACAATTCTAAGATTCACAAATAATTGGTCAAATTTGAATTACTACAGTTTTAAAGTTTGACCCAATGATTTTCACATGAACTTAGGCCTTCTGAGGGGGCGGATTTCTGATTGTTCGGAAAGGTTTCCTTGCATGTTAAAGTTTGAATCTGTGTGTTTGTTAATGAGACAATGCTTCCTTTTTCAGGGACGCTCTAAAAAACTGAATCCTAATGATTTGTAATGCAGCTCAGCCTTGAGATCACACCCTTTTGGAGCTGGAGTTCAGCCTGGTTTCTTGCAGACTACATTTATTCCAATTATGATTAATATATTCTGTGCTGTATTTGATTATCTCGTCCAATAATTATTTGTTCAAAGTTGCCTTCCAGTGACGATTCCTTCTCCACTGACATATTCAGCCTCTCTAGGAAGATTTTAAAACTAAATTCCCGTTAAATACGTGTTCATTACGCCAAATAATTGGGAGATGTTCCAACCTTAAAGTGTGACTAAGGCTTCACAAACGAACAGTAAAAGATAGAAACAAAAATACGTGCTCAGAAGTTCCATAACCGTGTATGCACAGTTAAAGAGGAACTGACGGGAAATGAGTTCGGATGCAAAAGGGAAGGCGTAGACAAATCTGTAGCTTTGAGTCTTGTGTTAACAGAGGTTCAGTAGAGTTTCCTCTCCGACTAAGAATAAATAGCGAACGAGTATCAGTAGCCTTTTGTCAACCCTACGCCACAACCTGAACAACCACCGTTGAACCCAAAGTAGCACGTGGCTAATTAGCATATGCATGCAGACGGCACAAACAAAGTTTTCTTTTCAGTTCGACAGTAGTTAGAATGAACTTTTATCGGTAATACAGGCACCGTGCTTTTTTTCAAACTAGACAAAAGCAACAGTAACTTACCGGAATCCCTGAATCAGCCGGACGCGGATCAAGTTAAAGAGTAACGTCAGAGGACAAGGACACGGCAGCGGCCAAATGGGACTGGCGACAAAAAGCGGCGGCCGTTGTGTGCAGCCAACAAGCACCGTGCTGCGTTCAATGTTATTAAGACACAAAATGCTGCATTCAGAGTCATTCTGAAACTAATAACACTGGGATTCAAATCCTCCTTTTTTAGCAAAGCTGTTACTAAAAAGTTACAGTGGCTGCTGTGGTTACAGAATGAATGCCTTTCATTTAATTAAGTCATTAATAGTCTTACACGATTCACTGGAAGACGTAAAAATAACCTTCATAGGTTATTACTTTTTGTATCAGTATTAGAAACCTGTGTCCATGTAATTATTTGCTCTGACTGGAAGCATAGACTTACAGGCATAAAAGACTCTGCACTTTTGTATTTGTATGTATTCCAGAAACAAAAGCTAAATAGCTAAGCCAAACAAACGTGTCATTTTCTTAACTCAGCTTTAGCACAGTTCTGAAATTTGTATTTGGTATTTCGTCATGCTTCTTAACAGTGTTTGACTGCAATCAACAGCATGATGTGTTATCATTGTAAAATGATCGTGACAACATTTTTTGAGGGGAAAAGGTTTTCCAGTGTACAATCTCAGAAATCATAGTTCAATACCACGTACAAAAATACACTCAATGGACAAATGCTTGTTCAGTGAGTGTGTGAACACAATGCTGGGGAACCACATTGACACCAAGGCAGTACAATAAAATCTTACTTGTTTATATCTATAACAGCTACGCCAGTCCCTGCATTTTGGAGAGTTGGTTTGTCTAAGTCCTTGAAATTATAAGGGGGGGGGGGATTGGCAGGACTTTTACTTGGAGCTTCTTCTGGGAACAGGCCACAACTATTGCCAGGACCTCAACTTAAATGGACATAGAAAAGTCCTAAGTCGCCAAACATAGTAACATGTTTACTTTCATTAGTACTATTTAGAATTTTTGTTGACAAAGACAAGCTCCACTACACTTATGTTCCACTGAACCACTGCTGTGAGAAAAAGGAAAGTATAATCTATTAAAGAAACCTTGACTGAGCAACAATTTAGAAGCTTCACATTCTTGTGACCCCCCCCCCCCCACACACACACACAAACACACGTACACAAGTCAAGTTATTTAAATAGTATTATTTCTGTTTGAACTGAATATTTAATAAGATTTCACACTGTTTTAGAAACAAATGGCCATGGGCTCTTTCAAGCAGAAATATGATTGTTTTACTAAATGCCTTTCATTAAGCAAAATTAACACAAATGAGCACACAAATAATTATGAAAGAGATCCTGATGAAAAAGCATATGTTTTCCAACATTTTATGTTAACATATTAGATCACATTTTTAGTTGAGATAATAGCCTGCCGGCCTAACAGAATGTTTAAAATTAACCATGTCCATGGTAATGATTACAACTACATCATTCTGTTATTTTCAAGCCACACCTGACTGCTTTAGTGTCATAACACAATTTAATCTTTCCAATTTCCTCCGTGTTTGTGCACAAAGGTGACTGTGAATAACAATGTGGGCACACAGAGCCGTACAGCTCTCTGCCAGGGCATCCGCATCCTGAGAGCAGGAATTTGATTAAAGTAAACAGAATTTTAAGGAGTGTCTATATGCAATGTTTATTGTCAGAGAACAGTTTTTGGAGATTTATGCTTGATAGCGGAGTGGAAGTTAGAGCTCTGTTTCTTATAAATACCTTTGTTTTGAATTTTTGTTTGTTTACAAGCCTCCCCCTCCCATTTGACACACACAATGCTGAACTTCAATCACTCCTTTGGACGGAAAAAAATCTAACCATACAATACCTCGACATGCGTCAATTTCAAGGCTCTATAAGGGACTTTAAATGAGAATATGTGCACTCACCAGGAAAAAAACCTGTGACTGATTTATCCCTGTATTCTTTCATGCTGAACCAGATTGTGTTCAATTCAAATGAAATTATTTCCACAGAACTTCACATACATGTTTGCATCATACCTGCATCACTTGATTCTCAATTCAATTGCTTCTCTAGTTTTAAATGTACTGCCAGCAGTTGGAAAATGTGGAGAGCCACTGGAACATGTAGTGCCCATATGTGTGTCCACCAACTGACCCACGCTGCTGTGATACATTTAGACTCCACAGGTAAACTCAATTATCGCAATCACTGGGTCAATATGAAGCATTACAAAGACTCAACAATCTTATAAGGATTTTTTTTTTGTGGATTGATTTATGTGAAATTTAAAACAAACATGCAAAGAAGAATGTTTAGGAACATAATCCAATTAGCTTTTTTCACAAATATGCAACAAAACAATCGGTACCAATACAGGACAACCGACAACAACTATGAAACAGTTTCCCAAATGCTAGGAAATTTACTTCTGCAGCTAATGTTATACTAAAAAAGTAGCCTTTTTGACAAAAGAAGTGGAAATTCACCTTGTTTTCCTGTAATTGTTACTGACCACAGAAAGGCAGCTGTCTGTGACAACATTGATGATCACAATAGGGTGTAATACTAGGAGTCTATATTTATTATTTAATGTTAAAGTAGCAGTGACATCACTGCAACAATTATAGCTAAATAGTGCATTAGATAGTGTGGGAATGGTTGGATAACTTAGGTAAGAAAGTATTAAAACAATTAAGAATACAATGAAAATCCCTAAAACATGCACAATATTCCCAGACTTGCTTGAACTCATTCATGGGGGACTGAGTAAAAAAGGCAGCAGTAAAGACCATGTGTTTATTTATCTATTGCATTATCTTTCATGTGTTTCATTGTTTTACTATCTTTAATGTTTTTCTTTTCATGATCCAGTTTGATGTATGCAGGATGTCCTGGAGCCCCAGTGACCTAATTTTCCTTGACCGATTTGTTTAGAATGAAAAAGAACAAAAGCATTAAAACATGAGCTTGACATAATCAAACCCCATGAAAGAGCACACACATATGTTAGTAAATGAATAAGGCAAGTTAATATAATTCTTTATATATATTGTTGTTTTTCTATGCACACACTAGTCAGGATTTCACACACATCAAACGCTCAGCAGAGTAGGTCGCTGTACAAACAGATAAAGTGCTTATGGTGGGGCATGTTCCGTCTCTACAGGGGTCGCATTGTTTGTGGGGGCCATACCTCAGGAAGTGATGCGAGGACCCCTGCAATAGTAGGTCCATCATGCAAACTGAACAAATGTGAGAGGGCAGGAGAACCTCTTTGAGTTAAGTTTCCTTTTCTTTTCATGTTGCAGTTGAAATATTGGGATTTGTCTATGAACAATGATAGGAGCCTTTTTAGGCTGTTTTATTAATCATCTGAAAGCAATAGCCTATAGTCGGGGGATAATAGCACATTCTCTTTCATACAATGAGAACTCTGACTTTGGAAGTTGCAAAATGTTCCCTTTGTTTTGTTACATTAATTTATGAATTTTGAATAAACAGATTCATCATATTCATGATCACCTCTAAAACTCAATTAACCCCTTTGAAGGCAAGTATTAGTTTTCACAGGTAATGTATATATATATGAATATACCTATATATATATATATAGATAGATAGATAGATAGATAGATAGATAGATAGATAGATAGATA